GACCAGTACTTATATATTTGTAATTCAAGGAAACTTGATCAGCATTTCTCATAGACAAAGTCAATTGTAGGAAAAAAATACGTCAATTGCAGGAAAAAAAAACTTACCAACCGTGGTGTGGTATCAATCGGAGACACTCCGATGACTTAATGCTTAAGTCAATAATGATACAAAAGAGGATATACAATTCATGGGAGAAAGTATACTTGCCTTAGATTTGAGCTCACTCGGTATTTATAGAGAGTCTGCCCCCGATTATTTAGGACTAGAGTCGTGGTTGGAATACGGTGGCACACCTAGATTCCAGCCAGATCTTCCTTAATTTGTGTTTCAACATTTCTAAGGGTCTTTTCTCATTAGTCCATTTTTTAGATAGATGTTAATAATGTATACCTATAATTTAAGCAATTTCTTTATTGGCTGCTTAGCATCGCCTCTGATTATTCAGCGTAGCCTAGCTATCTACTTGATTGAATACTATCCTCTACTCGGGTAGAGTTTGTTATTTGTTTAGTGTATCCTTAACAACGATTCTTAGATATTCTACCCTGTTCGGGAGTGTTACCAACCTAACCAACTACTTCCTACTGGTCGGTTGTTGTTTTTTCATCTGCTTAGCTATTCCAACTTTAGCTCGGCCAGCGATACATGTATCTCCAAATTGTCTTGTTTTATATGTTATTCACCACACGCCCTTGTACGATTGATATGTTGGAATATGTGGCTAAAATTCTTCAATATTAATTCAGCCACAGTTGATGGTCAAATTCGGCATATATAAAACCCCAATTCGTTGGTCAAATATTGTATTATTCATTACATTTATCATAGATGCATTTTTTGTAAAATTATTATGTATTAAATATTATTTTATAATGATGCATGCATACATATATTACATTGATATAATTGGATGTTTGAGTTGGATATTTTCTAGTATGGGTGACTTGACTAGAGGGACCCTTCAAGTAGTGAAAGACTAGTCAATCGTATTTGGAGTATAATTAACCTACTTTGACTGTAGAGAGTTGAGAAAATACTGGTGGAGTTAAAAAAATATTGGGGAATTGAGAATATTATGCTGAGTGGTAATGGCTAGCTGAACGGCTAGCTGAATCCTCTCTTATCAATAAGATTCTTTGCATACAAAGGGAACACACTAAGAAAACACCCAATTTGTGAGAAAACTCATTGAAGAGAAATCTCAACTCTACTGCTTTCATATCAAAGAGAATTTTCAATTCTCAAAGGTTAGCTCCTTATTCTTCAAATTTATCAAATTATGTTCAACAAATTCCTACATTGGTGTGCGCATAGATTTTCGTACAATAAATGAAAAGACAGCTCTCTCCCTTGGTGAACTCGTGTTTGCCTCGAAAGTCGACGATCCCGTGACAAAGGAAGGCCCAAGATGGCCAAAAGAACCAAAGGAGTGGTGATGAATTGCTTTAGGTGCTGTCCGATTGATTCCGACGAGTCGTAGGCGATCCCTAACATTCAAAAAGAAAGGGTTAGAAGGGCATCAGAGTATTTTTCAGCGTATCTTCTCCGACGATCAAGTCAATTCTTTGAGAGAGGGGAAGAAGAAAACACTGTTTTGTGTTCTTGTGAAGTGATTTTGCATACTTTTGTTTTGAGTTTTAGAGGGCTATTTATACCTTCAAGGACTCATCATCACTTATAGGTTAGGCAGTAGGTAGTGGGCAATTTATTAGACAGTGTGCCCTCTGTTCTGTATAGGGGAGACCCTGTTATTAATTTCCCGAGCATTTAATGCTCATTCTTCTTGACTTCAAAAGCCATCATGGACGTCCCATCATTCTAAGAGATCATTAATGCTTTTCTGGGATAACTGCATGTCAAAAAGGGGTACTTTCGTCTTTTTACCCACTATCTTGCACATTATGCCACGTGCCTCACTCTCTTTGGCTGTTGGTCTTGTTCCTTTTGTCATCCTGACTTCATTAAGAGAGTAACCCAAGGATCCCTAGTCTAGCTCTGAGACTGATTGGCTATGATAGTCAGTAATCCTTCCAAGAACCGAGGTGTCGTGTCCAAAACAGGAGATGCCCTTAGTGCCCAGGACATGTAATTGTTCCTCAGTGGAGGTGCCCTTGGTGCCAGGGACACATGGCAGTCCCAGAGTACGGGAGGTGCCCTCGGTGCCGAGGACACATGGCAATGTCAAAGCGAAGGATGTGCCTTGGTGTTGAGGACACGTGTCCAAATCAAAGCAAAGGGGAGCTTTCAGTGCCGAGGATGCATGGCTTCATCAGAGTAAGGAGGTGCCCTCGGTGTCGAGGACACGTGTCAGAATCCTATCCTTTCTCAATAGTGTCCCATCAACTGTCCCCAGCCCTTTGATCTTCGTACAGTCTAGGAGACGTGTCATCGGAAGATGAAAACGGCTCAACTACCTAATCTTTATGTATCTGCAATCCCTTCTTCGAAGGTCGTGCGCAATGATGGGGACAGGCTCTATATAAACCGAGCCTTGTCTTCTTCCTCACACTTTTAAACCCTTGGCCTTTCACATAAGCTTTCACCAGAGATCCCATCGGAGTTCCCTTCTATCCGCCTGAAAAAACTGCCATCTCCTTCAGACACTCGTCGAAGAAAGACTCCTAACTTCCATAGCCTATCCATTTTGTTTTTTTCGGTGAGTGCTGGTTCTGCTTTCTTTTTTCTTCTTTCTGTCATTTTTCTGATGACTTATGGCTTTCCTTGATTCAAACCTAGTGTCATTCTTCGTTCGCCTGAGTCATTGGTGGTGCTCCTTGGGATTTCTTGTTCGTAGAGAGTCCTTTCTTTCTCTCCTCTGCAAGAAAATGCCGATACGTCGTCAACCTATCACCGAGGTCCAAGAGGTTGGAACCTCTTGCCCGAGGGAAAACACCGTCAAAGGTCGTCAACAAATTACCAACTTCAAAACCCTCTATGATATTCCTCGCAACATCGGGGTGGATGATTTCGATCCATCACGTCACCATCCCAACATCGGCGTCGAGGACGCCATGTCTTTCTATACCAAGGCTATCATGGAGGACGGGATCAAATTCCCCCTCCATCCACTTCTCCTCCAATTCTTGTCCCAATTTTGTCTCTTCTGGGGGCAATGTTGTCTCAACACTTTAGAATAATCATGGGGGTGGTTGAATTCAATAGACGCCTCGGGGTCAACCTCGGTCTCGAGGACATCCTTTTTTGTAACTCCTTGCTGAGGGTGATGCTCCAACAAAATTTCTATCTCAAAGCCCCGGACCCTTCCATGTATCTTGTCACCCACCTTCTGGATTTCAATAAGGGATACAAGGACGACTTATTGGTCTTTAGTGGTGCCTGGGAGAGAGGGGTCGGCCTCGAGTACGACAGCTTGAGTTGCCCTAAGGAGTGGCGGATGGCAAGTATGTCAGCTTCTCCCTCTCTTCTTGGCTTCTTTAGTTTCTGACAAACTTTTGTACAAGTCCTAATGCTCTTCTTCTTTTGTGCAGGAGTTTCCAACTGTGAAGCTACTGCTCCGCCTCGGCACTTGGTGAATTTTGACGACATAGTCACTGTCTGGGGGTACATCGACGACGAATTTGGCCAAGCAGCTCACGTACTCTTGGGCTACACTCCGGGGTACAAATACTCCCAGACTCCCCAACCCTTCGATCCCTCACGGTGGTCAAAGCTTTTCTAGCAAAACTTGGAGGCAGACCCTGACAGAGCCATTGTAGCCGAACTAGAAAGGGCTACTGAGGGAGGTAAAGAAGAGGCGATAGAAGTTAGAGATCCCTCCACTACAGTCCACCTCAAAACTAACACGTCCGGGAGGGAGACTTAGCCAGATTTCAACGTTCTTCAGAATCTAGACAAGGAGGACGCACTTGAAGTCGCCATGTCTGGGCATCCTTGCATCAACCTTGCATACATCAAGGAATAAGCCGCCCTCAAAGCTGTACAAGGCTGAGGCTCCAATTCTAACGATCCTCCTCCTTCACCAAGGACTCTTGTTCCTCCTCCACCACTTGAAACCAACATTGTGCCTCCAAGGTCGACAGGCAGCTGTCGAGGCCCTCCTAGAAACCCTCAATCTAAGGAGGAAATGAGGGTCAAACAAAGGCACAACGACATCGATCATGGGAGGGGAACTCTCGTCCCCCCGACGCTTGTGCCTTCAACAAACATCAGCAGTGACAACAATCCTTACTCCACCATCAGTGTCGACACCTCAAGTAGAGGAATGGCACCCTCGGGCTCGAGATCGCGACAATAGGCCGATCCATGTCTTTGACTCCATCATACATTCTCCTCACATAGCCTATGCCGTGAGTGAGACCCTCCTCTTTGGTGCCGACATGGAGGAGCACCGGGGGCGGCCAAGCAACAATCTCTTCCGCTCAATGATCCAGAATTCTATGGTGGTAAGTCTTTTAAGTAATAACTTTCCCTTATTATTTTTCTATCTTCTTTGTTATAGCGTGACAATTTTTCGTTCCTTCTAACAGACTGCCCAGCAAGCCTTAGTCATCGTAGAGCGCTTCCATTCGCAGAGGGAGAGGCTCCAACACTCTGAAAGGATGAAAACCAACGCTGAAGGAGCTCTCATCGCAGTGAAGGAAGATGTGGCAGCCCAGGACAAGACCTTGTCCTCCCAAGCGGCCCAGATCACCGAACTCTTGAAGGAGGTAGAGAAGGCAAAGGGAAATGCTAATAAGACAAGCAATGCCCTTGCCAATGCTGAGAAAAGAATAACAGAGTCAACCAAACAACTCTCGGCGTCGGAGGCGAATGTGGTGGAGTCAGAGCAGACCATTTCGGCTCTCACCCAAGAGCTGGACAAAGTTAGGGCTGCGCTGGACATCGCCAACAAGACTCATGTGGAGATAACTGTCGGGTGTGCTGATGACATTCTGGTGGCTTTTGAAGACCAAAAAAAGGAATATTTCAAGCTGGGGTGGGACGAAGCTTTGAAGGCTGCCAGTGTCCCTACTGACTGTCCCTTGTTCTTGGAGCACATGTGCATTCCATCAGAGGAACTAGTACAAGCTTCAGCAGGGGTCGTGGAGGTAGATATCGGGAATGCCCAAGTGTTGGGCTCGACACCACCAGTTCCACCTGCAACCTCAGCCCCAGTTGGCACTGCTCCTGCCCGGAACACTCCAGCTCCAGAGCCGGCGACAACTTCTGCTTGTGCCCCTACCCCACCGTTTCAGGTCGATACTCCCAATGCTGACTCCTTCTCCGCTAGCATAGATTAGTTGTTTGGAGATGTCAGCGGTGACATCGGCGACGATGTGAATGGGCCACCGTCAGCACCGTAGACTTGAGCATCTTACTTTTGTAGTTTTCCTTTGTAATTTTCTTCCCAAGTCATGCAGCTCGGGGTACGCAAAGCCCTTTCTTTTGTATGAAATATAATTTTGTTCAACTTGTGTTGACTTCTTTTTTGTTCCCTCAATTGTTTTCCAACTTGTAACATAACTTTTTGTTCCCTCAATTTGTACCCTCTGGACCGACGTGCTCGTTCTTTGGAGGTGATTGCCCTACTTCTGGCGGATCTCCTCCGTGTCCCTCAGTGTCGAAGACAGGTGTCCATCCCAGGGCTTGATTTCCCTCTGTGCCGAGGATGCTTATTTTCTTCCAGGAGGAACCCTTCATGGACGCCAACCTTCTCCCCCTTTTATTTGTACTTTTGATTGCGGTGCCTGATGAGTGGGTTTTATACCTGCGAATTGAATACTTTTGGTTGATGAAATTGCAAGTTTTTAATTATTTTATGTTTCTTTTTATTTGTTTTGTGTGTTTTGATGTTATTTGGTAGGAATTATCATTTGGAAGTAAATAAGATCATTTGAAATAAACAAGGTCAATTTGCAGCCTAAATGGGAGATTTTTGAAGGCTAAGCAACAAGGGAGTTGAAGGCTTAAAAAAGGCCAGCGCTGTTCCAGCACAGAATCAGTGCCCCTGCACCCATATTCTATCCATTCAGTGTCTTTGCAGTGCCTTTTCAGCGCCCCGCGCTTGTGTTGGTTCGTAATGTGAATTTTGACTTATTTTTGACCCGAAATTGGACTCTGAAGCTACATATATACTAGGGTTTGTGTAGGGATGATATATTTTGACTTTTGGGGGATGAAAACATCTAGAAAAACCAAGGAATTGGAAGAAAATTGAAGACAAGAATTGAAGGAATCGACACGAAGAATTTTGGACTTGAAGGCTAGAGAAGGATTGGAGACTACAATAAAGCTTTTAGTGTTTTCTCTTACTTTTACTTCTTGATTTTTTGAGATGTTGTTTAATATGAGAATGATGTTCTTCAATTACATTATGAAATAAATTCTTATTAAGATTGCAATGGAACCTATGTCTAGTTAAATTAATCTACTCTCGTTTCTAGTTTTATTGATCGTACATGAGTTGTTTGTCATATTTTGTGCTTAATATATGATTGTGTGGCCAACAATTAATTTGATTCCGTAGATAAAATTGGGAGATGAATTCTAGGGATAGATCTGAATATGATGATATGCATCTGGTTAATTCTTCTTAGGATTGAATTGCTGGGTTTGTGTATAGGATAGGAATATACCTATATGTCGTGTGTAACTTTTATGAGAGTTTGAACTTAATGAATCTATTCCAACTTATTTTGCATAAGAATATAGTAATTTAATTAGGAAAGATAACTTTATCTAACTATCGGAAGATGTTTAATTAATAACTTTGAGTTCTTAGTTAACAACTTATTTTGATCAATTAACTGGAAAGAGAGTGGAAAGATTTATACGAAGTATTAGGGGAAGTTGTAATCTTAACTTCTTTTATCCGGTAAATTCAACTCTTGATTATTAAGTTTAGATTTAGTTTTCAATTAGTAATTTCATAGTTCAATTCCAATTGTTTAAATAAAATTGAATTGATAAAGTTAGTATTTGAAAGTTATTAGTAATAATTCTCCGTGGGAACGATACTCTACTTATCACTTTATTACTTGTTGATCGTGTATACTTGCACGTAAATTGTTAATATCAAATTCGAACAACAGTGCCTCAAGAGGAGGATGGATCCTCTTCTTTGCTTTATCTTTTCTCCTGAGAAGAGAAGGAAAAAACCTCTAAATACTTCCCTCGCCGAGATGATATGTGGATTGCACATGGATCTGAGGGATATTGGCGCTGAGGAGTATTAAAGCCAGTCTATCATTGCTTGGCCTCATGTCCTTTGTGCAGGGGCGGCAAATCAAAGGCTTTGGCATGCTTTATGCAGGAGTTCAATAGTTCTCCTTGTGGAGTTGACTTTCGTAGTAGATTGAGTAGCTGTTATGTAAGTCCCTCCCATCCTAATGCACTTTTCGCTCTGATTAGTGTCATCTTTTTTGCCCGTTGGATTGAGAGGGTCATGTTGATCTCTCATCCCACTATTATCCAACTCAAATTCCTTGATAAATGGATTGTTAGAACCAAATAACTTCACCCATGTAACTGTGCAAACAGACACCAACGCCTTGGTACAAAGACTTACATTCCCAAACTTATCATTCACTGTCATGGACTTAGATGTTAGTCATTTTCTTGAATCTTCTTCCTCCCAGAAGTGAAGTTACCATGGTGTCAGGATAAGAAGACGTCATTCTAACAACCCGTCTCTAGGTTCCATCTTATTAACTAGCTTTGTATTTTTGGGAATCCCTGGAAAGTTGAACTTTCAACGATTCACGTTTGATCTGTAGAATACTGCACGATCAAGTGTCCCCATCCCAAGCGATGCATTTGCTGAGACATTTTGTTGAATTTCTCCCAGGGGTCGTACCCCTTCCAAGATGCGAGCTCCTATTTCCATTTAGAAGGGTGTTTTTGAACTCTCCCTCCGGGGCTATGCCCCTTCCAGGAAGTGAGCTCCTATTTCTATTTGGAGGTGAGTCTTTGAACTCTCCCTTCAGGGCCATGCCCTTCCTAGGAGGCAAGCTCTTATTTCTATTTAGAGGTCTTTGAACCCGCCCTCCGGGGCCATGCCCCTCCCAAAAGGCGAGCTCTTGTTTCTATTTGGAGGTGAGTCTTTGAACTCTGTGATTCTTTGAACTCTCACTCTAGGGTCATGCCCTTCCCAATAGACGAGCTCCTGTTTCTATTTGGAGGTGATTCTTTGAACTCTCCCTCCAGGGCCATGCCCCTCCCAAGACAACACACTTGTCACTAAAAATAGCGTTCTATTTCTCAAAAATAGTACTTCTTCAAATTTATTACATTTTAAGGATGAATTACAGCATTTTCCTCAATGTCCTCTAGCCTATATGATCCAGAGCCTCCTACTGACACGACTTTATATGATCCCTCCTAATTAGACCCCATTTTTCCATCCACTGGATCTCAAGTATTTCCTGCTACCCTTTTGAGCACCAGGGTGCCTATTTGGAATTCTCAGGACTTGACCCTCTTGTTGTAGAGCCTGGACACCCCTTCTTGATACTTAGCCAACGTTAAGGCAGCCACCTCTCTTCTCTCCTCCATGAGGCCCATATCCAAGCTGAGTTGGTGATCGTTGCTCCCAGTGTCGAAGCCTTGTGTCCTTACGGTAGGGAGACCTACTTCCAACGGGATGACTATTTCTACTCCGCATACGAGGGCATAAGATGTTTCCCCTATTGAGGTTCAAGAGGTGGTCTTGTATGCCTAGAGGACGTTTAGGAGCTCATCCACCCACTTTTCCTTAGCCTTCTCCAACCTCTTCTTGATTCCACTGAGAATAGTCTTGTTTGAGGACTCTACCTTTCTGTTTACTTGCAGATACGTGGGGGTGAAGTAGTAGTTGCAGATTCTAAGATGTTCACAAAAGACCTAAAGGGTCCGCTGTTAAACTGGGTCCCGTTGTCCGACACCAGCACTCAGGGAACCCCAAGTCTTGTAACTATGTTCCTCCATACGAACTTCATAGTGTCCACATCCCTAATATGAGTCAAGGGCTCCGCCTCGACCCACTTTGTGAAATAGTCGATTTCTACTATAAGGAACCTCTTGTCTCCAAGAGCCATTAAGAGGGGTCTAATTAGGTCAAGTCCCCATTGAGTGAACAGCCAAGGACTCGTTAGTGGGTGCAAGTCTCCAGCTAGCTACTTGATTACTAGAGCGTACCTCTGACATTGTTTGCATTTCTGGACGTAAGCCTGCGAGTCCCTTTGCATCTGCGGCCACCAGTACCTTTGGGACATGATACGATGAGCCATGAATCGTCCACTTAAGTGCCCCTCACATATGCCTTAATGCACCTCGTAAAAGAGTGGTTCGACCTTATCTTCACGGACGCAAAGTAGGTATGGTCCCAAAAATTACTTTCGGTACAGCTTCTGATCCGGGGAGACCCAGAACCTTGGAGCCCTTAACTTTATCTTCCTAGCCTCTTTGGGGCATTCAGAGAGCTCCTTGGAGTGGAGGAACTTAAGTATTGGATCAATACAGCTGGGGGATTCTTCCCCTTCTTGGATAGCCGCCACCCTAGGGACTTCTTATATGCTGAAGTTGGGAAGATATTCCACAGTGATCCTCCATGTTGAGGTGGAATCCAGCGCCAAGGCCAGACATGCCAAGGCATCGGCGTGAGCATTCTTGTCCCGAGAAACCTGCTTGACTTCAACTTTCTTAAATTTGTGGAGTATGGTCATTGCTTCGTGGTGGTAAGCCTTCATTCTAAAGTCTCTTGTTTGGAACTCTTCATTGATTTGGTTAACCACTAACATGGAATCACAGTGGACAGTCAGCTCTGTGGCCCCAGCTGCGTTGGCAAGCCTGAGTCCAAAAATAAGGGCCTCGTATTCCGCTTTATTATTGGATGCCTTGAAGCCTAGTCGGACGGCTTGTTTCGTGACCAATTCCTCCGGGGAGACTAGCAGCACCCCAATCCCAGAACCTTTACTGTTTGAGGATCCGTCCACGCATAAACTCCAGGAGGGTCCCTGGCCTTCCACAGAGGGCTCCACCTCAAGGAGAGACGGCTCTCTCTTGGTAAGCTCTACTATAAAGTCTACCAGCACTTGCCCCTTTATAGTAGCACGAGGCTTGTAGTGGATATCATGTTCTCCCATCTCCACCACCCACTCTCCTACTCTTCCCGAGAGGTCTGCCTTCCTCAAGACTGCTTTCAAGGGTTGATCCGTCAGGACGATGATCGAGTGTGCCTGAAAGTAATGTCTCAGCTTCCTTGCAGTTATGATCAGGGCCAACACTAGCTTTTCCAAGGGCAAGTATCTTGTTTCTGCATCTAATATAACCTTGCTCACGTAACACACCGATTTTTGTTCGCCCTCGCGCTCATGGACCAGTACACCACTGACGGCGAATTCTTACATAGCCAAGTAAAGGAACAATATCTCTCCCAGACAGGGTTGGGAGGACCCTAAGGTACTCCTTGATTCCTCCGTGCGCCTCTTCACACTCATGATTCCAAGTATCCTTTTTGGACCTCATGATAGCTCTGAAGAAGGGTCTGCATTTATCCGACGACCGAGAGATGAAACGATTAAGCACAACCAACATTCCAATGAGTTTCTGGACTTCCTAGACTGTTCAGGGGACTTCGTACATCCAACATGGCTTGTATCTACTCTGGGTTGGCTTTGACTCTATGTCGACTCACTAAGTATCCAAGGAATTTCCCAAAACCAACTCCAAAGACACACTTCGCCACGTTTAGTTTCAGTCTGTACTCTCAAAGGGTGGAGAAGGTGTCTTCTAGGTCCATAATATGATCATCCATCCTCCTATTCTTGACTATCATGTCATCGATATAAACCTCCATAGTGTTCCCTATCTATCACTTGAACATTCGGTTCATGAGTCTCTAATATGTAACTCCAGCGTTCTTTAGGCCAAACGGCTTGATCGTATAGCAATAAACTCCTCTTGGAGTGATAAAAGAGGTATTTTCCTAGTCAAACGACTATAGAGGAATCTGATGGTAGCCAGCCCTGACGTCCAAGAAGCTCATGCGCCAGTGTCCTACTATGGCATCCACCAGCTGATCCACCTTCGGGAGGGGAAAGTCATCTTTAGGACAAGCCTTGGTCAGGTCAGTGAAGTCCGCACAAACGTGCCACTTCCTGCCTTTCTTTTTTGCACAAACCATGTTTGATAGCCACTCCGAGAACTACACCTCCCAGATGGTGTTGACCTCTAGGAGCCTCTCCACTTCTTCATTCACTGTTTGGGCGTGGTGCGGTGCTATGCGCCGCGATTTCTGCTTTACCAACTTGTAAATGGGGTCAACGTGGAGCCTATGGGTTATAACATCAGGACTTATGCCCTTCATTTCTGTAGTGTCCCACGTGAATACATCCACATTCCTTCTTAAAAAATTAACCATCTCTTCCAGCTCGACTGGGGACATGGTAGAGCCAACCAGGAAGTACCTTTCCTTGTCCCCTTCTACCAGGAGTACCTTCTGGAGATCCTCCACCAAGCGATCTGTCAGATCAATCCGTGGCTCGTCAACTCCAAGCCGTCCGGACTGTAATTGCTATTTGTTTAGGACCTCCTCTAGGGCTCGCTCCCTCTCCTTGGAGGTAACCCCTGCCTTTACCGTCGAATAAAAATAACTCTTGGCGGACGCTTGGTCCCTACGAATTTCCCTTATTCCTTCAGGGGTAGGGAACTTCAACTTTTGATGATAGGTGGAGTGCACCACCCCAAGTACATGTAACTAGGCCCGCCCCATAATTATATTGTAAGGTGAATCGGAGTCGATCTCCACAAACTCCGTGTTGGTCGTTATGGGCCCAGTGGTAACTGGCAGAGTGATCTTTTCCAAGGGTAAGACATATGAGCCATTAAATCCTACAAGGGGCGTGTTGACTTTGGTAAGGTCTTGAGAACCAAGACCTATGCGTTTCAAGACCTCGAAGTACATTACTTCTAAACAACTCCTAGAGTCCACCAAGACGCTCTTGACGTTGAAGTCACCAATATTTAGAGTTAGGATCAAGGCAGCCTCATGGGGGAGTACTACGCCTGCTAGGTGAGCATCGGAGAAAATAACACCCTTCTCATCCATCTGGGATCTCTTGTTGGGTCGGCCCCCATCTTTTTCATCCACCTTCCTTGTGAAAGCTACCCTCTTAAGATCAGATATAAGGGTATTGGACGTTGGTTGATCTAGTGGGTAGACGTGGATGACATCAATACATTGTCTCAAGTGGTGGCT